GCGGCTGAAACCGTCGTAAAAAATTACATTAGGATGGCCGCTCTCAGGTTTCTCTCTGACCACAGTGGTCACCCTCAACTCAATTCGGTTTCACTCCGGTACGGATTAAATTTAGTGTTCCGTTTCCATTGGAAGTAGAGTACTTATAGATCGAAGCGAAAGCGAAATCAGCACAATTTGACAGGTTTCCATCGACTTGAATTTGATTCTACGTCGCATTAGGTGTGAATTAATGCTTCGGTGGAAATTAGACCTGTGTAACCATAGGCATCTATACTATACTAGACTGCGAGGCTCCTTATATATGTACTATATTCGTATTAAATCGGCTTGGTCTCAGTAATGTAGACAATGTTATATTAAGCTGGCACGATAGATCTTTTTCACGCGTATCACATTTATAATGACATAAATTACCAAAATTATACAGTGAAAAACAAAAAATTTTATTTGATTCGCGTACCAAAAAGATGTACGGTATAAACTAGGCCATAGTAAGTTCCACTTGCCGTTTGTAACGCTTGTGAGCGTTACCCTATCTTTGTTTAACTTTCGATGAAAAACGAAAATGAAATGATTTCATGAGCAAACGGCAAGTGGAACTTACTTTATATTATAGAAATCATGTTTTTTTTTATATAGAATTATATGGGACTTTTTGTCAACTTACTGAAAGAAATCTTAAGCCCAACACTACGTATTGCAGACGTGAATTGGATTGGGGTTGCGGAAATTAGCCAATCAAGACGAGGCAGCTTCGTCTTGATTGGCTAACTTTCAATTCGCAAACCGCAATTCTAATCCAATACATGTCCGCAATACGTAGTGTGACACCGGCTTTAGAATGGCCTATGGACTAGCTTAATACGATCCTTTGAGCTACATCTGCAACAAACCAAACCTCCACAAATAGTCACATTAATGCCAGAGCGACTGATGGTTTGGTGCTCTTTTGGCTCAGCGGACCTATAACAGAGTGACTAATGACCCATTAAACGAGAAGAAGAAAAATTACAAGATTGATGCATATCAAAAATATAAATTGTTGTTAAACAAATATGATAAATTACATTGAAGTGAAGAATAGATTAATAGTAGTGACGACTAAAGATCGCGTTTTGTTGATATGTATTAAATTCAAATGAAAGTAACTCGAGAACCAAAAAACGAGAGTGTAAAGCAATTTACGTATCAACTTCATAAAGATGAATTCAGGAAAGAGTAATGGTGAAAGTAGCAATGGACTAGAAAACATTGATATACACGGACAGGAATTTTTAAGAGATGCATTGACAAGTTGCACAGATCCGCTCAAAGCAATCGAAGAAATTCAGGTAGACAATCAAGATATGTCACATATATCTATAGAGGATTATCATTCTCGTATCAGTATATTGTAATATTATTAAATAATATCTATCATATTTTTTAGTTACAACATGGAATTTTGTTGCCATCACTGAGGCCTATGTTGCCTCTTCTTGATTTACATGGGGTTAGAAGGTTGGATTTTCATGCTTCGGTACTTGAAGAACTGCGAGAAAAATTAATCAAACGAATTAATGAGATTGGTACTGAAAGAGCTGATAAAGGTGCATCCGGAGATCGAAGACTAAAGGATTTATTATCTAAAAGTTTCCCAGCTGTGAGAGTTGATGCCTTGAGACCAATTGTTATGTGTATTTTAAGAAATACACCGCACATTGAAGACAAAGTTTTGCGAGTATTAGTTAGAGAAAAAGAATTGTATAATGATGCTGATACAGAAGTAAAACGCCAAATATGGAAGGATAATCAAAGTCTTTTTGGAGATGAAGTTTCACCTTTATTCAGTCGTTACATTATTGAGAAGGAACAAATTCTATTTGATCATAGAAATTTGAACACTTTGTTTTTTACACCATCACCTAAGGTTTGTCATTTTATTATTTAAATTCACATATAAACTCTATTAACTATCTAATTTTCTTTTTATACAGGTAAGAAGACAAGGAGAAGTTGTACAAAAATTAGCACATATGATTGGACGTAGTGTAAAATTATATGACATGGTGTTGCAATTTTTAAGAACTTTGTTCTTACGTACAAAAAATGTTCATTACTGCACCTTAAGAGCAGAATTATTAATGGCATTGCATGATTTAGAGGTATGACTACTTTTTAGTATATCTTCCAGTTATTTGGAAGAATTATCCAATTATTGGAAAAATAATTATTACGTTATTTGGAAGAGTAATCCAATTGTTTATTTATTATAAAAGTGATGTACATAATTTAGATATTGCCTCAGGTTTGTTATGTGTTATCAGGTACAAGAGATTATTTCAGTGGACCCTTGTCACAAGTTCACATGGTGTTTGGATGCATGCATCAGAGAAAGAAACGTAGATGTTAAGAGATCACGAGAGTTGCAAGGATTTTTGGACAGTATTAAGGTACAAAAAAACAAAAAAAAAAAGCTAATACAATCAAGAAAATATATAAATTTAATTTTCTTTAGAAAGGACAAGAACAAGTATTAGGAGATCTAAGTATGATTCTGTGTGATCCTTATGCAGTCAACTTTTTAGCTACAAGTGCGATCAAAATAGCGCTTCATTTGATAAACTCAGAGACATTACCTAGAGACAACTCAGTGCTTGTGTTGCTATTGAGAATGCTAGCATTAGGATTATCTGCTTGGTTAATGATAGATAAACAAGAATTTAAAGAACCAAAACTGGACAGCCAAGTTGTCACAAAATTTTTACCAGCTCTTATGTCACTCATGGTACTTTTAATGATTAATTAAATCTCCTTAAAAAAACGAGTTTTTCAAATAAACTCCTAGTATTAACTTCCAGTAGTAGTTTTACTTAGTAAAAATATAGATATACAAATAATATAATAACTCTTTCATTTAAGGTTGATGATCAAATAAGACAATTGAATTGTAAGCTCCCACCAGATGAACGAGAAAGTGCTATTGCAGTAATAGAACATTCTGGACCACCTCCTGATGCATGTCAAGCATATGCTCAGCTCTCTGGAGTAGCAGCAGTTTTGTCTATGTATTACGCCTTACATGTCGGAGGTAGTGGTGGAGTTGGTAAAAGCCGCGGGGATGCTACAGGTTTAATGAGAGTACTCGCTACACTTCCGAATTGTGAAGAACACCGGGCTTATGAAGATCCATTTTTGCATACATTGGTAATTTAAAATGCTACAAAATCATTGTGAAAAGTATCACAGTTTGCTGCAAAATTCTGTCTCAAAATTTTAATTATAAACCTTACAATGTTTACTTGTAGGTATCATTGTTAATATTAAACATGTCTGATGAATTTTCCAACGAATCATTCTGCACCGTTATATTTGACGAATTCTTATTAGGTGGTTTAGGTAGAGATAATGTTACGCGACACCTATTAAAGTTGCTTTGGTACATACATTCTAAATTGCCAGCCACGCGATTGCATTCGTTATTAAAAGCCTTGCAACCAACTAGTCAGGTAATATATGCGTTTATTGTGTGCATTAAATCTTTTTTCAGTATATCAAAAAATTTTTTGTGCTGTTATAATTAAATTAAATGGTTTTTAAATAGCATAATGAGGCAGTTCATAACCTTTACGAATCTCTGAGGCTCAAAGTCGGTACTAACTCTACAGAAGATCACTTAGCACCATCTCAAATGGACACATTAGGTATTGATTGTTCATCCTCTGTGCTTACTGGAATGTCAAGCACATGCCCACTTTAAAAATATCCGTCCAGTTAATCTGGGCAAAGCGATGAACTCATAAGTTTAAGTATAAGCAACAGCTTTACACATGTATTATATGTATGTACTGTTGTTGCTATCGTTGAGATCATCACATCTGTATTTTTTATCTCTAATAGATCAGTATGTATATAAATTTCCAAAACTTCTTTTATAAATTTTAATAAAGTATATATAAATATGTATATATCTGTGTGTGTGTATTTTACATACATAAAAAAGAGCTATAAAGCTACGATGAGCATTAAAAATAATATCTACGTATAAAATAGTTATAAATTAGTATATATGTGTAAAATATAACGTACAATACTTAATAATACATCAATTTTGGAAGTTTTATATTTAGATTACAAAAACATATATATAAACATATATATATATAAAATAATCAAACTATACAAAATATTACGCACACGTAATTTATATAATTTACAAAAGATTAATCTTTTTATGTTTATTTGTTATTTAATTTATATCCATTGAGTTTGTTACTTCCATTATAAGTCTATCCAAATAGCTAGAATCTAATTTGTACGACATAAGGATCATTGATGTGTATAATGTGGCTTGTTTAGTTTGAAGTAAAGACTTCATCTGCACATCAATTAAACTTAACCTGAAATGTATAAGCAATTTTAGATCAATTGCATTTCTAGTTTTCTTTTAAGCTTTATAACTTACATTTTAATGATAAGAAGTCCTACAAGTGTCCACTCGGCAGCTCTGAAAACAATGTTTGCAGCGGATAAGTTAAAAGTACTAATTAAAATCTTGATTAAAGAATACTTCTCATTGTTATAAGTAAATTCCGCTATTGAGCAATTTGTATTAGACGTCAATGCACGCAATAAATCTGGCAATCTATAATCAGATAATACACAAATATAAATTATTTTCTAAGCAAAAGTAAACGATTATAACTTAAATATTAAGTTTTTTTAAACCGATTTCTTATCGTAACACTAATCGAAACTATTACATTTTATTAAGTTTGTCCAAAAAAATTCGGCGGCGAATTGCATTAGGAGTGTGAGAAGCTGTTAATGGTAATACCGGTTCGTCATCTTCATCATTTTTGTTTTCTGATTCGTTATTACTGTCTTCAAAAATTGTTCGTCCTTCATAAAAAGCACGCACCTATTAACATATAAAAACAATCAGTTATATATGTATATATCTTCTGCCTTTGCAAGTGAGATCAATAAAAAGTGAAAAGGTCAATTAAATAAAATTGAACAAATTAAATTTCTGATGAAAAAAAGATAAAAGATCATACCTTTAATTCCATTTTTTTTCCTTCTTCTTGAAGCACAGAAAAATGAGGTAAAGGTTTCAACATATTTTTTTCCAAGATGATGCAATCTTCTCGTTCGTCTTCTAACTGCAATCTATTTAATTTTTTACATAATTGCTCATATCTGTCGTGCTGCGCAAGACTTTCTAATAACTTGCATTTTTCATCCTCCCCACCCAGTAACAGACGAAGCGTATTTTCTGTAATCCATTCTCTGACATTCTGTTCAACACGCATTACAAGTAAGTAACAACAATTGACATGTGTTTCTGCGCTACCAAATTCTTTCTGTTTACACTTTTTATTTTTACTACTTTTATTATTATGTTTTTTTTCCTCAGGATTGTAACCAGATGTAGAAGTTACAATATTGTTGGTGTATTCCTCAAATAAGTACGGTTGTATTATTTTTTTGTTGTCTTTACAATTATTCTCTGTATTCTCACCTACTTGATACTCAAGTTGTTTATTATCATTTTGATCATTATATAGTTTGTCAGGATAAAATTGCAACTTGTTATTATCACCATTTTGGCAACTGTTTATTTCATTTAACTGAGTTTGTATTATGCTTTTACCGTTATTATTTTTACTGTTACTTTCATTTAATTGAAATTGTACTTTCTTGCATCTATTAGGTCTAGTTTTGTTTATTTTAGTTTGAATATTTATTTCATTCAACTGAGGTTGTGTTCTATCAGTTTTACAATCATTTTTGCATGTAGTATTTATATTTGTATTTTTGTCTGTATTTCTAATGTTATCTTCACATGAGTGTGGCATATTTTCATATTCTTTGATAATTTCTACATCTAAATTATCTAATTTTATATCTACTTTCTGAATTTTATTGTCACAGTTGCCTGTACGATTTATAAGTTTTATAGATTCACAATCTTCATTTTTTTTATTCAATCGCAGTTCTGATAAATATGTGTTATCACTAAACAAATCTTGCGGGTCAATATTTTCAGAAACGTTACTTATATTGTTCGTTTCACTATTCAATAAAGTAGAACTATGTATACTTTCTTTTTTCAAGTTTGATATATCAGATAATCTATTTTTTCTTGTTTGCTTGACTTCCAGAGATTCTTTGTTGTATTCATTATCATCTTTCTTGGACTCTTTTACACATTCAGCATTGTCAATATCTATATTCTGGTTAACAAGTTTAATTCCAGCAACATCTATTTCATCTCCAAGAACATGTTGTTTAACATTTACAGGTAAAATTTGAAAAACTGGTATATCATCTTTTTCTCTTAGCCATAATGGACTTTCTAACATTTGCTCAAGAAGGAAATTAGCTGCTCCATAGCAAGACGAACTGCAAAATTTTTTTCGTTTACTGATATCATATACTTTGTTATTACGAGTTGATATGTGATACTGTTGGCAAATGATAACACTCAATGGTTTGGAACACAGAATATATCCACACAGCTTTACTATTGATCTTTCTTCTATTATATCCTCCATGTGACTTTTGCTTAAAAATTGTAGCTGTAATTAGTAAATATTACTGTTATTAAATATCCAAAAGCAAAGACGATTTCTTAGTAAACTTACATTTTGAAGAAGCCAATCTGGATTTACAGTAGGTTCTAAAAGCTGCTCGACTATTGCAAGAGCTTTTGCATCACATTGTTTCTTCTTGATAATAGCTTGCTGTATTTGCACTTTGCTTCAACACAAATTTAACTTAAGTAAGCTTACATCTTTTTTTTCTAAAAGTATATAACTTACCTCATCTTCTTGGCTTTTAATCTTTCACTTGCTTGTTTTTTTGTTGACATTATAGATATTTTTGGCAAACTAACAAAACAGACCTGTCATCTGCAATCCACGTCTGTACTTAGGTCCGAGTTCATAGTCGTTTCTCAACTCTTAAGCCCATGTCACACTACGGATTAGGATTGAGATTGGATTGAAATTTGACCAACCAGAAAAAAGAAAACCAATTCTAAGTTTAGTGATCTTTGCTCTGATTGGCCAAATTGCAATCCAATCTCAATTCTAATCCGTAGTGTGACATAGGCTTTAGATCTCGTCTCCAATCTCAAATTTCAGCTCTCAGATCTCGAATCTCCAACCTCTCACTACGTAACCAATGGTTACGTAGTTGCCAATGTGCACTACCTATGGACATAGCGCTGGCTTAAAGGGCGAAAAAGTGATTACACATTTTTCTGGGCCTGGCCGCTCTCAGGCTTCTTTCTGCTTTCATATTCTCGCTCAATCATGAAAAACCGAATATCATGAGTAGCAACTACACTGAAATTTGAGGTGGGAGATTCGAGATTTGAGAGCTGAAATTTTTGAGATTGGAGACGAGATCTAAGAGTTGAGAAACAACTATGAACTCGGACCTTAGTTTATTGAGTTTTACTGAGAGAAGAGAATCAATCAAGGGTGCTTTCTAGCTACGTACAGAGAAGTGCACCGTATCGTTCCGCTCTAAGGGAAGGTAATTTCGGTAGGAGGGACAGTCGGAGGAGAAATTTCCGAGAAATACTTCTCCTGGAGCGGAACGATATGATGCACTTTTCTGTACACAGGCGACGCTGTGTAACACAGTCTTTTAAGCCCCTTGCACAATGGAAGGAATAGCGATAGCGATAGAAATAACACTAGTTTCAAAGATTTTATATTTATAAATAACGGTAGGAACATCGGAGTCGAACATACAAAAAATACACATGTATCAATGCAGTTCAGAAAACGGAATAAGCAATAGCAATAAAATTTCCGACGAGTTGGAATTCTGTGTTTATTGCTTATCGCTATTACTATTCTCTCGCATTGTGCAAGAGGCTTTAGTGTAAGAAAGAGCATATCAGTGTGTCTCACTCACACTAGTGGACACTGTGTTGCACAGTGTCGCCTGTGTACGTAGCTGGAAAGCTCTCACTGTATTACCCTTTTAGTTCACGAGTTCCATAAATGCACCAAACCAATAAATAATGTATAAAAACTATTGGCAGTTCTTATTTCTTTTATCTTCTATATAAATAATGATAGTAAATATTAAAAGTTAAAAAATATTTCAAAATCAAAAGTTTTTTATTACATACATTTCTAGAAAATAAAACACATCTTCGTGACTACCAATAAGTTCTTAAGTCAAAATTTTTACATACCAATTTAGAGTGATCTGTTTTTTTATTATTTCTATTTAAACATATCAATTCGATTTATATCGTACAACTGCTTTATCTGCGTGTTTAAGGCACGTGTTGCTCGATGTGAAAACGAATGACAGTTCTTAATTATTATTACCGCGGAACATTTGGTTTTGATTAATATTGAGCATATGTATATAATATATAATATCGCATTAGATTTGAGCTATTCTTAACAACTAACATAAACTCGATTTATTGGCATTGTCTTCTCAAATAAGTGTACACGATTCTTACAAAAAGAACATTGCATAACACGTATGTTATGTGATTAATCCTTTGGAATAAAGCACGCAATATGCCAACGTAAAATTGTGAAATCTGTAACAGCGTAAAGATAAAAACATTGAGTAGAATAGAATATTAAAGTACCCACACAGACATCCATCCATCTAGACATCTATTAGACATCTATTAGATGTCGCACGGAGCTGTCGACGTCTAATAGACGTCTAATGAAGTTTTTGTTCTGTGTGGGTAGTTTAGAATGTTAAAAGAAAAAAAAACAAGTTTTTACAAATCTAAGGTATCAAAGATTAACATAATTTGAAATATATCAAAATCCATATTTTTGTTACATTTAACACCAAAATTGGATTGTCTAATTCTTATTTCGTATATCTATCTTTTATTAGAAGAACAAGTAAGTATCAAAAATAGCTGCTCATAATGTCAACATGATAAAGATATGACTTTATAAATTTTCAACAGTTAAAAAGTCAAAGTTTGGTAAATGTTGGACCTGTTTTTGTTTCAGTTATAACAACATCTGTAATATTCATGCAACTTAAGACACTCGTTTTTTAAATTCTTCGAAAAAAATGTAAAATTGCTAAGTGGACGCTAATAAGCAATACAGTGAATCAATCCAGAAAAAATGAAATATTGAGATATTTATGTAGTGTGCTTCTTTAGGTATCAAAGAACGTTTTCCAATCGTGTTTTTAAAAACTTAAATGTTTTTATATATCAAAAATACACAAACATCTTAAAAAAATATATACAAACATCTTTTTTTTTTTTAATCTTAACGCGTAATTTACTCAAAATAGCGATGTAGGTTGACATTGTGTATTGCTTATTAGTGTTCAAGTGTACGTATCTACTGCTAATATAAAATTTTTTCTAGAACATTTTGTATATGTACATACATACACGATAGCTCATATTTCACACGTATATAATGTTGTTCAAGCATCATTAACATTATACACAAAATATATCAATGAACATATAATGACAACACAACTTTCATGTTGCTCAAATTCACGAAGTACTTCTTCGTGAATGTTGGCAAAAATTATTATATAGAGTCTTCAAGATCACATTATTAATTCTTGATCAGCAAGTTTCGGATCTTTTCAACACTACAAATTTTTGCTCCATATTTTCTGTTCCAAACCAATACTTAGATACGCAATTAAATTGAATCTTATAATATAAAAAATATTATTTAGAACAAATGCTGAAGAAAAATTATAAGTTTTTGAATAGATCCGGACAAACTTTTGCAGCTGCAAACAAAACGTTTCACTTTGTTTTAAGATTTAAACTTTAATTCTCAAAAAATTCAGCCTCCTGAAGCTAATAACTAATGTATAAAATGTAAAGATATTTTAATCTTGAATATATGTATACACACACACGCACACACACACACACACACACATTTTTGTTTTTCTTCTTGTTTCTTCCCAAATTAATTAATTCTTAAAGCTTAAAGTTTTTTTTATATTTTTTGAAGTTAGTTAATTTTCACGTTCTATTATACTATTTAGTATCAAAAATTGAATAAAAATTATATTTAAATCAAAAATAGTTTTTTAACATATAAAATACTTTTTAATATAAAATGAGAGCTATTGCTAATATAAGTGAGTATAGTTAATATTTTTCGAAGAGTAAATTTCATACAAGATTTGTTTGAACACTATATGTTTTTGTTAATTAAGTTAATAACTAATAACATACTGGCCATATATATGTTTACCATATATCAACATTTTCTATACAAGAATTTACAGTCTCTGTTACACAAAGTATTTTACACAATCGTTGCAGTATATCTAGCTTCAAAAGGCTGAATTTATGAGATTCATCTTTTCTTATTGCATCATATTATTTTTTTCACACTATTCCTTTCATTCGCTCTAAATAAAACGAAGTTCAGGTAAATGCCGCGTCGATGCTGGATATTGAAGATTGTGATAGGATCTGCTACGTCTGTAGTCTCGCGAAAATTGACTTGGATGACGGAAACCGCCATAAAGTCCTAAATGAGTGACCGTATGTCTACTATCTTCGCTGGATTCTTGATGTCGACAAGTGTCTTGCGTCACTACAGCGCCAGGATAATCCGGCGCTGGATGCACGGGTTCGCCGATCGTTGGCTCAAACTGCGACACACCGTATAGCACGCCAATAGATCGCCTCCATCCGTAACGTTGCTGCGTTTGCTGATCCTGTTGGTCCTGCTGCTGACGTCTTCTGCTTTGCGACGAACTGCTCTCTGTCGAATTACTGTCTTCGCTAGTGCCTAGTCCGGGATCTCTTTCTTCGAATGCCGTCATGCTAGTCGCGAGACTATCTTGCAATGGCTTGATAGCGTTTGCCGTGTAATAAACTAGATGGGGATGCGGGATCACGTAAGGCTGCGGCAACTTGTCCACCAGATCCTTTTCCTGTGTGCTATTCTTAGCGTTCTCCGCCTGACCGGCCTCGTTCAACGCGTTGCTGTCGTCACTGCAGCAAGCGCCAGGTCCGAAGAGAGACAGCAACACTGGCAGCAAAAACATACCGTGCATGGCGCCGATAAAGATCACCAGGAAAACCATTTTGAAGAACACGAGAAAAATGTAGGTGCCAGCTAGCAGAAGCGCCATCAAACCGAGTATCGTAGACGCAGCGCCCTGCACAATCGGCAGACCGAGGCTGTACAAGCTGTCCTTCACTCTGTCCTCCGGTCGCGGCTTCTTCGAGCTCATGTACGCATAGCAAATGTGCGCAGTGAAGTCGACGCTGAAGCCGATGCACATGATTAGATTGATCATAGAGATACTATCGAGGTTGACGTCCCACAGTGCCATATAACCAGCAACACCTAGCTCGATCGATACGATGCAGAAGGCAACCCATAAACAACAGAAGATGTTAGGAATGAAGATGAAGCTGATGAGCATCATGACAAGCGCGCCGAAGATCATGCACTGAATGCTAGTCGGTCGCACCAGCTCGAACTGATCGAAAAACACGAAGTACGGATGAAACACGCTAGCGTTCAGCGGCGATGCCTCGCAGATGCCACGCAGCTTTTTCACCATGTCCTTCTCTTGATTGGTGCCACTCACATTTACCGCCTGTATTAAAAACCGACTCGCGATGATTCTCTTGTTCATATTGTCGAATTTGACATCTAAAGAGAAAGAACTGCTTGATTGCAGCCATTCCTGTTTGAGCGTCTCAATAAAGCTATCTTCGTCATTGATAGTCAGATTCAAGTAATCTTGATTGTCCTCTACGTAAATGAGAAAACTGCGAAGCCAGCTCTCGGTGTAAATTGGTGCGCTGATGTATTCACTTGCCTCGAGACTTTTTGTCAAATTTTCCATTTGCTTCTGGATCATTGGATCACTATAATTGTACTCACCGGATACTATCACCTGAAAGACAAAAGAATGCGTGATTATATGTAAATTGATCTTTTCTTTAAATTACTTTTTCTGTAGTTAAAAGGTTTTATTATATTAAGTAGTTAACACGCATTTTATATATAAAATGTTTGTATGCTATTAATCGGGCGACTCTTTGTAACAATTAATTATAAAAAATAGCCATTTATTTCAAATGTCTTAAATGTATTTCAAATGTCTTATATATATATATATATATATATATATATATATATATATATATATATATTGTATATTTTATTATATATATACATTGTATAAATTTAATTCTCTTTTTTTATAAAACTCACATACATTCATAGATAGACAAATGGACAGACACACATTGCACCTATACGAACGAAAAAAAAGGTCATTACTGCAAGAAGTACACGGAAAAAAAAGTTTTGCTATTATATGGTTAGCAAAAAAAAATGGTTGACTCTACGAAATATTTTGTTTCATCAACAAAATGTTTTATTAGCGAAACAAAAATTTTAATAAACTTAACAAATGTTTTTTTGCTGGCCATATAGTAACTAATTTCTTGCTATTCTAGCAAATCTTTTTTTTCCGTGATATAACATCGTCGAGTGTAACATCCTTTTTGGAGATTCCTATGATATCTTTGTGTGAAAGTAATTTCGAGGAAGTATACCTCGAATAGCAGTCTACTATCTACAGTCGAATACTGGATTTGACAAAGATCTACGAGAAAAATGTTTTGTCACAATTGTGCAATTTGTTCGATCTCGATACGCTTAACGTGTATTTCGGCAAACATTTCACCTAAATTACGATAAATGCTATAAAGAATTCAACCGTGCCTCGAACGGTTGATTCTCGGTGAATGACGTTTCTGTACAGTCATCGGAATTCATCGACTCGTAACGTCGAGACGCTATTAATATTGCGAGGAAACGCGATAGTAATGCGCAAGACTGTCTTTGAGAAATGTACTTTCACTACAGTGTATAGTCGGACTAACGCAACGGAGAAAAAGATTTTTTCAGTAAAATTCTTGCTGCGTTTACGATTTTGCTTCGTTGTCAGGAGACTTCAACGCTGCGCAAAGAATTGCGCGGCATCGAAATCGCTCTCAAAAGAAAATTAATGCGTTATGAAACATAACATATAATTATCTAATTAAAGCAGTCACACAGAGGTCAGCAAGCGATTTTTTCGATTGATTTGAAATGTAATGTCTAACAATTATTTATATTATTTTATCATTATATAAAAATTATATTTTTATATAAAAGTATAAAAATAATTTTTTTAGAGAAATTTAATTAATAAAAAGAAGAATATTCATATAATACTATTAAATTGCTTAAGTTAAAATATATCTACTTTAAATGTATTTTAATAGTAACAAAATACAATAAAAATGTAAAATATTATTTATGTGTTTCTTATATTTGTGTCATAATAAAACAAAAATATATCTTATCATATACTGTAGCACGTTAAAAGAAGAAAATAAAAAGATGTTTGTGATTATAGATATTTTAGACTATATACTTAAATGTGTGTTAACTTCAATTCAAATATAAATAAACAGCGAGAGAGATGCATAAGGAAAAAGATTTTTTTAAATAAAACTAATTAGTTTTTCTTAAAAAAGAGAAACCGGTTGATCGGATCGTGATGTAACGTTTGCTTTTCTTGAAGTCCGCGCTAGCCAGCCAGAGAAAGTTGTTTGCACTATATGTTGTATCGAATCGAGAAGAGCACGTGACATAATTGCGCGATACTGGATTATGCGTTTCCGAGCATAACGCACTTTGTTCTTCCGATGTTTATCCTTTTTTGCGTTGTATAAGAGAATATTTCTCTGAGTTCTCTTTCGTTTTTGTTTGTTCCATACTTTTGGAAAACAGAATTTATCAAATATTGACATAGATCTTGAAACTTATATCGCAGCTTTGGATAAACCAATTGTAAACTTTTTCTAATGATTACTAAATATGATTACTAAGATAATATTTGCATAGTCAATGAAGTGTTATTAACAATTAAGATGTTGGAATACAAATATTACATGTGTACTTTGAACATTTTTATAGTTTTTACATACTATATTTTAAGAAATAGATAAGTAGACTTATATAAATATTAATGAACAAATAAATAAATAATAAGCTAAACCAGGTTTTAAAAAAGATTATGTAATAAAAGTTGGAATATGGTTATATATATATATATATATATATATATATATATATATGGAATATGGTTATATGTTGCGCGTGATTATGTTATAATTCTTGTAATTTTGTAATTGAAATATAAGACTTACTTGTATTCTATAAGGAAACTCTCTGAAATAAAAGTCTTCGCGATCATAAAAGATAATTGAGTAGGAATCCTCCTTGGAAAGTTTGCGTCGATCTAAACCTTCCTGAAGCGTTGTAAGCCCATAAAGTCCGCCAAGAAGGTAGCACATAAAAATGATAATAATAATCACTTTTACAGGACGACAATTTAACGCGACTGCCAGATAATCGCGGAACCAAGTCATGCATCCGTGTTCAGGATTGTCGATCGGATTATTGGGATCGACAGGATCAATTCCACCGGAGCACAGTGCTCTGTAGAACCACGATCGATGAGCTAAAATGTCATGTAAAATATCATACAACATTAATATTTGCACTCATATTATTATTATACAATAACTTCTAATTGTTGCGAAATACTTTATTGCATAACATATTTATTTTGATTCATGAGAAAGAAAGAAAGCAACTTCTTTTCGATATTCCATAGGTTTTACAAATAATTAATAGCAATATTTTAAAAATCGAGAAAAAAATAAAAAGAAAGCAAGCTTTTTCCATTATGTAATATTGTGATCTAACATTTAAAGGTATCCAAACGCGTAACGCATGTTGCTGCAACTTAACTTCGATGTCATGCAGACAAGATTTTAAGTACCAGTTTTTGAACGACGATAAATTGCGAAAAAGAAATAACATTTTATGCTCAAATTCATAAGAGATTAATAAGAAACTAATAATTATATAATACACAAATCACCATATATATATTAATTAATTTGAAATTAAATAAATGATAAAATATGTTTCTCATTCTAAAAGTATAATTATTAAATCAGTTTTATAAAATCAAAATATGATATTGTCTGAGATAAATTCTAATTACTAAAATAAATAAACAGTATTATTTTCTATAGATAAAAGAATTATAATACTTACTAGATTTGGATAAAGGCTCTACCTTACAGCAAATAATGCTGTGTAAATTTTTTTGTTCGCAATAACCACTGATTGCGACGCACCCACTGAAGAACGTTAGATGAAATAGGAAAGTAAAAACTACCGCAAAACCTGTAATATAGTTAAAGTTTAATTTGAAAAATATACAAATTAGAGTATATTTTAAACTTATTTTAGTTGATTAATATATATTTTATTATTACTTTTTTTTATACCGTTTTATTAATTATAACTTTTTTTATATAAACAAGAGTATCGAGATATCATTACTTTTTGATTATATTTTGTGTATGGAAAATAATAATAATATTCTAATATAATATTATAAATTATTCCAGCTTTTTACCTGAATAAGTGCAGAAAATCTGAACCGAAGGAAAAGGTGATAGAATGCCGATAAAAAAGGATATCATATCTGTTAAAGATGTGATTGTGATAGATACAGCAGCTTCACTCAATGTTGATGCCATCCTTTCCGGTACCGGTTTAGTGATGCTTGATCTTCTCCAGGCCGCTAACATGACAAAGGTATCGTCTATTCCTATTCCTGCAATAAAAGATCGCGAATTGAATGTTATGTTGTATAAGTATTTAGTAATCAAATATTTCAAATTTTAATTTGTTAATTTAAATATTTTTATTTTTGTTTTTCAGGTTAATTTAAAAAGAAAGGGAGCGGAGATTAAAACTGTTGGTTAAAGATTCAAAAATAGAAGTGAAGTTTAAAACTATGTATTTTGGAAATAAAATATTTTTTATCAAGAGATTTTTATTATACGTTAAGATATATGTATATTGTACAAAGAGAGAGAGAGAGAGAGAGAGAGAGGGAGAGAGAGATGTCCTTGTAATTAAAAAGAACATTAAAAAATGCAACATTTAAAACAACACCTTATTTTTTATCATTTTGAAATAATGAAAAAAATAAAAAACAAAAAAATGTACAATAGTCACTGCATAAGACATTGTGCAAAAAATTTTGTGAAAAATATTTTAGAATTCATCAAAATATTTTTGCGTTACAGTGTACATTGCATTTGAAAGTATTGTTTTGAAAACAATTTGAGTTATACATTTGATTGAATAAAACTATCTTTACTTCAGGCGTTGCAGCTCTATTTCGAGAAATTTAAATAAATCTTAAAAAGAGTTTTTTATCTTTTTTAAAAAGTTTTTTTATGTTTTTTAACAAACAAAATTAATTACATGTATACATATATATATATATATTTATATTGTAAATTTCTTGGCATATTATTGTATATTTCTTGGCATGTTATTGTATAATTTAAAATTTTTTATTTTTAGTTTTAAAAAGAAAAAGAATAAAGTTAATAATAAATTTTTCTAAGAAAAGTAAAATAATTGGTGTTTCCTACAAACACCAGTTGTTCTTCGGAAAGTCACTGCCGATCTTCTAAATAAATGTCACGATTGTCTGATATTGCGTCTAATTTCTTAGAGAGCATGAATAATAATAGAAGATAATATGTTCTTCAGAATAAGTTAAAACCACAGAACAATGCATTTTGCATATGCAGTAGAATCTTTGTCAAAACAGCTCTTACACGTGATTAATAAAGATGTATCATGCTCAAGTATGATGTATCATCGATTTAAAAATTTTTTTATATATACATATATTATAATTTCTCTTTAAAATTATAATTATAATACAATAAAGATATATTATTGCTTATTTACGCTTTTAAAACTTTAAATTGTGTTTTAAGTATACATGTGTACACACACACACACACATTTATATACCTATATTGTACATATATACACATACATGTTTTGTGTGTGTGTGTGTATTATATGTATTAATTTTAACTAATTTTTCTGATAGATACCTAGATGAAACTTGAGTAAATAATAATCACTTTGAGAGTAGCAATCAGTCGATTGCATTATAAATGAAGTCGTTATTATCGATAAAGACCAACTTTATTCGGTGTCGAACGCAGGCGAGCGCGACATCGAAAGGGAAAAGGAGACTTCCGCTTTTCACATAAATCACAGTTCGCTTATTTCGCTCGCACGAACCTGACAGAGCAAGTTAATGTGTTTATCGTTGAAAACATGTGTTTCTTAACGTAACGCGAAATTACGGCATCGTGTTGCAAAAAAGCCTTGTCATTTTCGTTGCTCAACTTACGCACTGTATTAATTTAAACGGTGATTGACAAATCTTCGAGTAAATACGATATAATCAAATATTCAGCAAGTTAAGAAAGCAAGTATGAAGAATTTAATAAAATCATGAAATTACTCAATTTTATCAATTTTTTATCATTTAAATCTATACTGATCGGTTTATATATCGTATATATATAAACCGATATATATATATACATACATGTGTGTGTGTGTGTGTGTATAAAACAAGTTTAAATTTTACAGAGTTGTACTATTTTAACATGCAAATTTTCCATGGCATATATATCAGAGTTTACCGATCATGAGAAACGGTGCCGCGAGATTGAGGCCGATGAAGTCGACTCCTAGATAGATGCACAGTCCAAAGGCGGCAACGGTCGCCATAGCGGCCGAAAGATTGCCCAGAAGACCGAGCCAGGGTTTACTGCGCACCCAGTCGGTCATCATGCATGTCACGACCGAGAAGAGGCCCATTATGATGAACGTGCTGGTGAAGTACGGCACGATCGTCTTTGTGTTGGCCTCCAGTTCCAGCTCAAGGGTCCTCGAGGCAAATCTCGCAATGCTGATGTGCTTAAACGCACCTCCGTCCTCGGCCTTGCCGACAACGTCCAGAAAAGCCTCTTCCCAAGCAGCACCGCTGAAATTAGAAGAACATCACATTAGAAAAAAATGAAATATTGAATATCATACTGTAAAAACATGCGTCGTTAATATTTTAAAACTATTGAGAAATGTACATGCACACTCAAGCTAAAATTATATGTGATTTCTTTTTTTCAAGATGCCTTTACACATTTCTATACCTAATACTTTTTGTACATCATATTAACACATACACACATTTATGTATAATATGTTAAATATATTCTTATATGATATGTTAAAAGAGAGAGAATATAATGAAATATATTTATATACATATATACATATATATATATATATATATATTTATATACATTTAATATATTTATATATTTTTTTTATTTATTGTTTGAGAAAATATGAAAATATTTAGATTTTAATAAAATAACTAAATGAAACTTTTAATGTTGGATGGATTCCGCGACTTGTTACATATGCAGCAAGAGATTGTCAATATATTTAATTTCGACATTCTACCGTCTTTAATGACAATGAGTAATCAGTATTATCAATAATCAGATATTTGTTATTTGCACGAATACTGCTGTAGCAATAGAGTGATTCAATTGAAATAACTAGTGCATGTAATGAATTAATGAGATATTATTTTTATTTAATAGTTATTATTTTTACTTATATAGTAGTATAAGTAGATTACATAGAGATTATATTTTAGTTTTTCGCGTATAACTTGACCACACTTGTTTCATAACATCAAGATTCTATATATTGACTGATTTCTCAACAAACATGATTGGTAAACTCACATTGCATCCTGTCGTGGACTGTCAACGGTGATGAAGTAGGCGAGTTGCACAGAGGGCACCGATTTTATAGTGTGATCCACAGGATTGAGAACGGTTCCGCCGAAGTACACAGGAAACAAATGACTATCCCACGTGAGCGGATTCAGGAACACTGGGAATGTTAGATTTAACTCTTGCGTTTCCACTTCTCTGAAAAATTTAAGATTTGATGTAAAAAAATTTTAGTATACATTTCTTTCTTCAAGTATCCTCGTTGATTTGAATTAAACAGAACTGATTAATTTTTACGCGCTATTAGTTATTATAATATTATTGCTTACTTCATTATAGGCTGTAGATTTAAGATGTCGTTGGTGAAACATTCGTTGAACCATCGCGCGCAAATTTGATTGTAAGTAAATTGCTCGCCGTCATACACTGCTGTAATGTTTCTAATGATCTGATCGAGGTCCGTCAGCTCTTCCCAAATCGCTTTTTTCAACATGTTCTGCCCGCCATCCTTGGGAATTATAATTACATGACCAAATCGGCCTGCGGCAGATGTAATTTAATTGTTAATTAGAAATAATAAACTACTACTCCGACAATAGCAAAACGGGAATTACTTTCTTACAACTACAACGGAAGAAACAAACTGGAAAACGGAATAAACTGGATAAAAAATTGATAGGTAGTCTACTTATGAAGATGCTGAACAGTATAAGAAAATCAAAAGGTTACAAGAAATTAATTTATAGCAGAGATCTCTTTTATGAAATTTAAAAAATGTTCAGGCTTAAGTTAAGAATGTTAAGTAAATTACTATTATTGAAAACATTTATAGTGAAGCATAAAGAAACAAAGTAAAGCTTGTTACAATATTACGAAAAAATGTGATGTTGTTATGTTATCTTTTGACATTTATTTTTTATGTTTTTCTCAAGCAATCTAGAAATTTAAGAAACATGTCACTTTATTTATGTCAACTTTTGAATTTTGGGTTTGTTAGATTTATAGATTTTTTCACGGACGAAAATCACAGCAAAAATAAATGAGCAATGAGTGCCTCACCTGGCCGAGTGATACGGCCGACATTGAACTGATGGCTATAATTGACCTTGAAGTACTGTTCAACTATCGCTCGTTCAGTTTTGCCGGGACCGTTGATAGGCGAGAAGAGATATTCTGGATCGATTTCGTAGTGTATCCTCTGATAGCCGGTGAAGCATATGCAAGCCAACAATATTGGCACGATTACAAAGTATCCGGGATGTCGACCGACAATCAGACCAACTTTATAAAACGTGCGGTTCAAGAAATCGTCGACGCATGTCAAATGCCACATCTGTGAAAATAAAAATAAGAAATTATTAATATGTTGAATCTCTCTAGTACATATGTTATTAGTTTATCAAAAACCATATAAAAAAAACCGAATTGAAAAAGCTCAATTATATATAATCTTAAAGAATTTAAGAAAAACAATATTTTTATACAAGAAAATTATTTTTTCCTTCATAAACAACAGCAATATTTTAATTATTGTTAACAAAGTTTAAACATAACCAATTTTACAATTGTTTAGTGAATTATATCTTAAATTGTATGTTTTTGTTTGAAATTAAAACGAGAGAAATCGTGCGGATGATGTTCAACAATTTTATTTTGTTAAAAAAAAATAAATGAAGATACAACTTTTAAGAATGAAAGATGGAACAATGTACTTAACTGTAAATGAAATTATAAAGAGCGATTGTGTTAAAATTTTGTAATAAAGGAAAAAGTGGTCCGTGCAAGTCAAATGATTATAGTTGACAGGAAGTAACCTTGCGTCTTATTGAGAAACAAAGCTTGGATAGTTACCGTGCTTGACACGTCTCTAATTGATTGTAAGAAACCGTGCGTTAAACACGTCTCACTCGTGGTAAGATTAGTCAAGCTTTTTTTTTATGGAACAGAAGAATTAAAGAAACACTAACAAAATAACACAAAATAATGTGAGAAAGAAACTTTTTTTTCTTTTTCTTCCGAAGTCGGTTGTTATGTCAATAATTTTCTTAGTAACCAAACAAAAAAAGAAATCCGGCTTTCTTAACGAAATTTGCGCATTCTCGTTAGCACGAGCGATTTAAAACAACTTCAGTTTCTTTCTTTACAGTTCTTCAAACAGTTTTAAAATATATATATGTTGTATATATATTTTAAGATATAAAAAAAATAATAAGTATAAATTCAATTTTTATCTAGAAAACCTTTAAAAAATGAAAAGTAAGAGAAGAAAGAATAAGATGTTATTTCTTATAAACAATTACTTAAATAGATTGTAGTTGGTGAATGTTTATAGTTATAGTGTAGAAAGCACTGTGTTTTATTCAACTTTGTAGTTCGTATATATATAAAATTTATATAAAAAAGAAATGCTTCAAACTGTCCAATTTATTTTTTGAATTTATTACACTTCACGCGCATAAATGCAAAGTAAGTAACAGAACATTCTTGAAAATATTAAAGATTCAACTTCTTGTACAGTTTGTTACACGCACAATGCAAAAAATGAGTCGCTCGTAAACTTTTTGCTTCTTCCCTCTCTTTTTTCTCTGTCGTTATTATTACGTAAATTTGTTATTTGCTCAAGTTGATGACTGGACCTCCCGACATAATAGCATAGCTCATTTATTTAATGGTCTTCAAAATAGAAATATACATACACGGAAACATCTGTTATCTACATGGCTGTCACAACAAGACATTGTTGAAGTGCGTACATTGTTCTTACATACGTAACTAAGTAAAGTTTAATTTTAATAATCCGAACATATCGATGTGATCTAAATTTTGAATATATTATGCATTAAAAATTAAAACTCTTTGAAATATAATAATTACAAAATTATATAAATGTATCACGAATATAAAATATGAATGTTTTTAAAAAACGTCGACATTTTACTCATATAATATTATTGATTTATTGAAAAATTCTGAGATATCGAGAAGTCTGAAATATTCATGGATAAATTAAAATATCTGATTTAAGTTTCTGATTTTATCTTTTGATTAACAAACAAAACACTAAAGGATTTGCACGCAAATATTTGGGAGATAATTGTTATTGAAATCATGTAAAATTGTTGTTAGACTTGACCTACATTGTTCAAGATTACGTGTATGACGTGCTGAAATGTCAATCAGATTACCATAGACTTTAAAAGCAAATCGATTGCTAAATTAACAATAGCGTTAGTCTGATTTCTTTATTGAACAATTTAAATGCAAAAATTTGTTTTTCTCTCTCTCTCTCTCTCTCTCTCTTTATCTCTCTCTCTTTCTGATATCTTCTCAATCTTATAACTTAAAAAATTCTTTAGCAATATATGATAAAAAAGTTGCAAACTTTAGTATAATATCTTCATTTACATAGACTGTTAAAAACCAGCTTAATTCGTTCATTATAATTATTTAAATATATTATGCACTGTTTTTATAATTTAACTATTGATTAAAATTCGATAAAATAAGTTTTTTAATAAAAAAGTATTCGCGTTCGAATACTTTCTTAATCTTTTGATTGAAACGGAACAATGTCTTAAATCTTTTGTTCTGTCACAAGCTTTTTTCATAATATGATGGTGCCCTCATAAGGGATTACATGACACAGCAAAGAAGGCTGATTCACCTTCGTCAGATTTTCATGCACGTTCGTCCTCTCACCTTGGACATTCAAGAAGCTTTTTAATTCACTTTGCGTCTGGTCGAAGAATAATGTGATAGCTATACTGGGCTTAATCATCGGGTATTAATTGAGTAAAATTTAAAAAGAGAAAAACTTCTTATAAAAAAAGCAAAATATAATTTCTTACAAGTATGAACAGGTGTGGGTGTGTGTACAAACATGTGTAAAATATTTCTTTCGGAATATTTGATTTTACTATTCATATAATATATCCGCAAGCGTAAAATTCTGAATTCATTGATTTGGCACAAAGTTACACAATTTCTTGTAATTATTACTCTAATATTGAAAACTTTTTCGTAAATGTTTGCATGAACTGTTTCCCGGCGGAAGAGTTTCATAAATCTCGGAAAACGTGGTACTAACCCGCAGTTTCGCGACACGATAGGGAATTACAGCAGCAAATACAGATCCACGCGTACAGAAAATAGTGGCGATCGACTTTCTAAAACCGTTCGATCCCTTCTCGTATTTTCCGCACATGTCACGTGGTATGTACGTATCATTAGCAAAAGCCATAGTATCGACCGCGATTGGCAAAGTTTAGAAGCCAGAACAGGCTCGCAATTTATTTATTTATTATTAAACGCAACGCGTTTTACAAAAAAAGTCATGTTAAAGCTATTGGGTAATTTCCATCTGCTGCACATTGCCGTCTTCTCGTTTTAAATACAATTGAATGACCTCGCGCAACAATTATTTTTGCTATATTGCCGTTTCGCAAGCATTGCTCGGCAACAGGTATACAGTATGTGTGTACACTTATATTTCTGTTACACAAAAACTAAATTTGTTATATTTTATAAAATTTCATCATATGTAGCTTGTGATAGTTATTGATATTGATAATGGAAGTCAAGATCTTTGAGCAGTCCTTTTATAAAAAAAATTGTCATTTCTTGAAACACATAGTATATGAACATAAATAGAAATAATTGTTTTTTCTTTTAAGTTGTTAAATAAATAAAACTAGAAAAAAATCTACCTATTTTCTACTAAATAATTTATAAATTTATATTAATAAGAGGTATGATAATAAGAGTCACACAAAATGGCAATAATACTCGTACAAAATAAATTCTATTTAGCAACAATCTGTTTTTAATAAATTGAATAAATTGCAATTGCATACGTAAATAAGTGTCAACAAAAAAGTTGGTCTTATCTCTTGTGTTATTAGTATTATCGTACTTTCCTCATAAACGAAAACTACTCTCAGCTACAGCGGAAGATCGAAGTGCACGCTGTTACGACAGATTATTATCTTTAGGTCACTAGAACACTCGTTATCTTCTTAATGTTTATGTTAGCAATTATAAAGCTAAAGAAAACTTAGCAAACTATATTATCAAGAATGACATGTATTCAATGTGTATATTAGAAAATCCGCAGAATCTAAAGCTCCTATTAAAATTCAAGACTTATTTTCTCTTTCAAGAAATTATGAAAGAAAATGCAACAGATGATTGTAAGAAAACTTGCCTGAAATTGCCTGAAAACTTGAAATAAGCAAATTCGCTTTCTTCAGCGCGTTGCCTATTTTATAAAACTTGTAAAAATAAAATAACGTCAGAGATTAACTGTAAAACATATACATGTGTCAATGCATAACAAAAAAAGAATTTAAAAAACATATGTTTATATGTCGTATTAATTGGTTCGATTACTTTTATTAATTAAAATAACTTTCTATTGCAAATAATTTTGCATACAACAATATACTTATGAAAGTTCTTGTAAAAAAATCATCGACTTGCTAAACCTGACGATTAATGAAAAATGATGTAACTTATTCTTGAAACGAAATGTAAATAAATGCTAAAACTGCCAAGTATATTTACGATTCACGTGTAGAATTTCAATTTCACGGAGCGCGCGCCCAAAACATATACATGAAGAAATCTATAAAAATTATATATGTGATTATATCATTTATTACTCAATATTTTACTAAATAATTTATCTTTTTATTTTAGTAACTGAAACAAATGTTAGGAACAAATTGTTTTGGTTTTTAGCGTTATAATCTTTGTACTTACACAAATGTGACTTTCAGTTGTGTTTTCTTAATATTATTATAATAATAGTCAATGAACAACACAGATAGAGAGAGACAGACATACACATACACACATACACACACATTTGTCGGGAATGAAATTATACCAATAAAAAAAACTCGTGGCTCTTAGGGAAAGTATATATTCAAGCGTAAGAATGATTACTTCCTGAAGAACCGAAGAGTTAAGAGAATACGTTCAAATAACTGAAAGTAAGTCAGTGAACGAACTTTTAATTAAATATACTATTTATTTTCCACTTTTGTACACTTTCTTTTTTTATATTTATTTGTGTGTGACATAAAATTTTACTATTTCATATAACATACATAACGCAAATATGTGGCAAATATACGACTGTGTTTCTTTTTTTTTCAAATATTTTTATATTATATTATTTCAAAATATAAAAAACATATTTCCAGAGATATTGATTATTAAATAAGATAATAATTATTAAATGATAATCAAAATATCTTCAGAAAATACAGTTAATTGTCAATAATCTATTAGTATTCATAGTTGTTTTATTATTGACAAGACCTGATTGTC